ATCAGCCCAATACTGATAACTGATGTCTTTTCTCGCTTCTGGCCAGCTGCTTCAAAGCATATTGTCAGATCTTTCAAGAGCCACAAAATATTGTGTTCTGTTACAAAATAAGCACAGAACCTACCAAAAGAAAGTTCATGCTCTTCTTTCGGAGGAAAAAAAGACAAATTCTATATTTGATCAACTTTACAAACTATTTGTATGTTTGAAAAAAAAAAACTTATCACTAATAGGTTACGCGACAGAGCCGTTTTAACACTCTTATTCTCCTCCCTGCGTGTGTTCCAGCACACCCTGGCTGAGCTCTGGGTACAGAAGACTTCAGAGATGAACACCTGTCAGCAGTACCACTGCCGCACATTCCTGGGCCACCTGCTCAACATTGGAGACCTCGTCATGGGGTTAGTATTGATGACTTAGGCCGTTTCCTATCCATTTGAGGAAAAGAGCGATCACGAGTTGCCGTTTGGTTTCCAACAGGTACGACTTTGCCAATTCCAATGTCAACGACGAGTTCTTGAATAAGATGAACCCTCATCACGTACCTGATGTGGTAGGATTTCTCCTAAATGAAACTCTGCCATATTTTCTTTTTTTACTTTATACTGCCCTCTTCTGCAGAAACACAGCAGTGATGCTTGCGCTTTGAGTCATAAAAATATCAACTGGACTCTTAAAGGTGCTGATCAAGAAGAGCTTTGACCGCAGCCGCAGAGTGAGACGCAGGAACTGGAAACTTCAGGAGATGGCCAAAGATAGAGAGGGCATGGATACAGATGATGAGAGGTACCCCAGTGCTTTTTTTTTTTTTTAAGTGAAAGATAGCTGCAGAATGGTGTCATCTCAAATTTCAACCCTACTATTTTTGGTTTCTGCTGGCTGACACTACTGAATTTCCTATCTTAACTCTGCATTTGTGTCCTCAGACAATTCCAGGACTTCCTGGAGGACCTGGAGGAGGATGAGGCTCTCAGGAAGAATGTTAACATCTTTAGAGGTGAGCAGCTGGACACCACAGGGTTTCCACTGTTGATAAAATTGTCCCGTGTACTGCCAGCTTAGAATTTCAATGAAAATATATTCACAGGAAGGTATGTTACTAAGTTTAGTATTGATGTTTATACAGTGGTGTTTTAATTCAATAAATGCAGGTTGGCTACCGGTACATCGGAAAACAATGTTACTCTCTTTCCGTGGAGCTTTTTTAAGACATTGTCCGTCAGTGCTCTGAAAAATTTTCCGCCATGTACCACCTAAAAAAAATTACTTTTTCAAATACAGCTTTAATAATTAACATGGAAAAAGTAAGAGTGTTGGTCGAAAATGAACCAAAAGATTCATTCCTAAAAAGTATATTCACTCTTATTGTAATCCAAAGTAAGTTTATGCACTCGTTTGAATATTAACACCACTCTTAAATATAGGAAAAGTTTATTTGTAGTGTCATTCTATTAGATTTCACATACCGTTGCCTTCCTAAAATAGTCCTTTTTTTCCCTGTTTTATTCAGAAAAACTGAACATACACTAATTTTAATGAATTAATAATTTCATTGATCCTTGTTTCGCACACCACTCGAGAGCCCACGAACAATTTGTGGCACACCTAACACTCTTTGAGACTCACTGGACTCTATGTGATTCGGGTTTATTTATACGTTGGTGCTCATGATGTATTGCGACTGAATTTTTTTGAAAATTCATTTCAGATGCCTCGAAGATCCCAGTGGAGAGCGACACCGATGACGACGGCGCGCCACGTATCTCCTTGGCAGAAATGCTGGAGGAGCTCAGCCTCTCGGACGCCACGGGAGGCGAGGGAGACGACATGATAGAGTAGACGCCCCGAGTACTGATAAAGCCACGCCGCAAAAGTTGAGCTAAAGCATATAATTTCTACGAACTCGCAAATTGAGACTTCGTTTGAAAAACCCATCATGTTCTCTATAATGCAGTTCCTGGGCTCATCAGAGCTTCTTCTGCCTGTACTTTTCCTGAAGATATAATAATATTTGGAATAAGTAGGACTGTCAAAAATAAATATTTATCCATATGCAAACTGCTTTGGGATGCCTTGCTTGAAACATCCACCAGAGAGTGCTGTAGCATCAAAGGTAACGATGGTGAGAGCAATTTCACCGCAATGGGCAAAAGTCAGCCTTGAGGTCAGTGCTCCAATATTGCCTGTATAGCTCCAGTGGAGCCAGTACACTGCAGTTGAGTTTTGGCACTGTCAAGAGCAATGTAATGAGTATTAGCACTGAAAAAGATGGAGAAAAAAATGACAAAATACAGACATAAAAAACCCTGATGGTTTAATTTGATGATTTTTATATTGGCTGTCAGTCATCTCCACAGCACCCCACCCTCCAATAACAATGCTTCTCTTTTTTTCCAATGCCGTCATTTGGCAATTTCAACTTGGTAGTTTTGACATTTGATATTCTACTGGTAACGTCTTAATTTATATGCTGATGTTTTTGAAGGCGTTATACACAAGAGGCCTGTACAAAAATGCAAAATGCACAACTCCCCATCCTTTAATTATGTTTGAGTAGTTTTGTTGTGTGACACCTTTAGTGTGAATTACAGGTGAATTTCATCCCAAATGTTGTCAGTGGGATTCTGACATGTAAGACAAGACAAAATCAACTCCAGCAGTTCCACTGTATTTTATTAATCCCAGGAGGCAGCTTGCCTTCCTGATCTGCTCAAATAACATGATCACACTGACTGACCGTCAGTCAAAACTTCCTCTTTGCATATCCCCTGAGGATGAACCCGGAACAACGTTAAGGAATTGTAACCACTCAACAGCTCTTGTGTGGATTTGTTTTTTTCACCTGGTAGGATGTCATATGAGAACCTTGATGGTATCTCTGTTGTAAGAAAATCAATGACAACATTGTAGTGTCAAAAATAAAAGCCGATGCTTCTTGCTGAGAGCATAAAATAGATGGACGGCATCCAAATAAAATGAGTTAAGAGCCATTTAGGTACAACTGATGAAGCCAGGGAGTTGGCAGAGGTGCCTTAATGACACTGCTAGCAGGATATAGAATAGTTCATTTCTGACACATAGTGGGTGTTCACGGTGAGGTAATTAATGAACTATGGTTGTGATTTCATGCTGGAGGAATGAACCAGTGAAATGTGTTTGACACTCTACCTTGAGGATTGAGGAAGAAGAAGGAAATGCCAGTGGCCCGCCTCCCTCCCTCCCAAAACCTGAACTGTTATTTGATCTTGGGAAAGTGAATGAACCAAATCGTAGGTGGGTCTGAGTGGGGATGGGGGCATCTAACAACGTGGAATTGAGGTGCAGCGTTTTTTGTTTTGTTTTTTTACTTTCCTTCACCTACATCTCCCTGCTATCTTTGCATGTGTGCAAACTGAGCCCTTGCAACCTCCTACACTCTTGTTCACGGCTTTGCTGTTATTTGCCTATCCCATTTTCCATGCATAGAATGTCTAAAAGCATTTTCGGGAGTATTTTTAGGTTTGTTATTTTTCCTAAAGCCTTCCAGTGGGCGTCTATTACCCACACATTTTGGCTTTTCATGGCCCAGGCTGGTCCCAGTCCTTCACAAATAGCGTGTGTTGACCGTACAATCAATAACTTCATTCCATCCATTTTCCGATCCACATTATCTTCATAAGGGTCGCAGGGGTGCCGGAGCCTATCCCACCTGTCTTCGGGCAGTAGGCGGGGGACACCCTGAACCGGTTGCCAGCCAATCACAAGGAACATAAAGATTAACAACCATCCGCGCTCACTTAACACCTCGGGACAATTTGGAGTGTTCAATCAGCCTGTCATGTATCTTTTTGGAATGTGGGAGGAAACCGGAGTACCCAGAGAAAACCCATGCAAGCACGGGATGAACATGCAAACTCCACACAGGAAGGCCGGAGCTGGAATTGAACCCAGTACTCTGCACTGTGAGGTCGACGTGCTAACCACTGGACCACCTGGCCCCCCAAATCAATAATTTATAATTTGTTTATTTAAATTGGTCCATCTCCTGATCGGATTATTGATCAGTTCTTTTTTTTTTTTTTTTTTAACTCCGATCAGTGATTGGCTAAAAAAATCCTGGTCATGTATCTAACTTATTTAGATAGTGGATGTAGTCCACAAAACTCCATGCAAATGGCAGGTTTTTGTGATTCAATGAAAAAAAAAAAGATCCAAATAACTTTTTTTTAACACTGACCATATTCAACTACCTTATTGTACAAAGCCTAATTAAAATCCTTCACCTGAGAGAATTGTTTCTTATTCAGTATTCACAAGTTATATTCATGTTATTTAGGGGATGATACAACGTGTCTCTGACTGTGTTGTAGCTCTTTTTTTCCACTACAGAAAAGAAGACAAGGCCACCCCATCCCCTGCATCCAGACTACAGCAGCGTGAACCTGTGCGTGACTGTTTGGCCTTGGTGGAGCTGTCTGTGTTTACATATCAATAATGCATGTTGTTGTTGTCAAGGGTAGGAACTGAGACGGTCAGCAAAGTGTGGCGATGGGGATGTAAGATTTCCCAATTCTCATCTTGTTGCAAAGCAAAGAAATACCTCACCTAGTGCTCACTATGCAGTACTTTGCAAGTAATACAGTATACGTAAACTCTGTCAAGTCCATGCCAGTGTGGTTTAGTAGATGTTCAAAAGGGCATGACTTTACTGTGGCTCTGAACTGACCTATTTATCAACACTTACTCAGTTATTACAGTCTGCTATGGTACATCTACACCATAAACAAAGCTTGTACACAAGGCGCAGCTGTGGTTGAGTGGTTAAGACAAATAACTCAATAACGGAATTATACTTGAACGGAATTATGCTCGTATCTTAAGACACCCGCTGTCTAAGTCAAGTGCAGATCGCTGAAAAATCTTGAGTAACAAAGTATTTGTACTTCGTTACTTCCCACCACTGCGAGTTCATATCAAGGAGAGCCCACAGAGCTCACCGCGCCTCAGCATCAGAGGATGCGGCAGGCAAAAGTTTCCAGGTGCATTCAAATACCTCTGTAAAACACAGCACTGTCATTCGAAGAACGTTTGTTTTGCTTATGGTTCTGGACCTGTCAGCCAGGTGAGCAGGTGTTGCCGTGGTGGTGGAGCAAAAGCCACATAGCCAGTGGGTGTGGTGTCGTCTGCTGTCACTCCGCACGTCTTACCACATGTAGGTTTGACCCAAACTCGTGAGGCAGATCTATTCCCCTCCTGGTGCATGCACCGCGCAAAAGGTAGCAGCGCAGCAGCAAACCGGCCGCGATCATCGCTTTTTAATAAGACATCATAACCCGGACACGTCACTGCTTTCAACGTGAGTATCTCGTTTTGAACCTCGAGAACTTTTGGAGCTGTTGTTACTTCCATTGATCGTATTTTCTCATTGAAATGCGGCCAATTGTATCACGTAATATAGGCTAAAATACTGCCCATGCTGCGGCTTAAAATTTGGAATATACACGTTGACACGACGGTAGAATTATAAGAAGTTTGAAATAAGTGTGCTGAGTTGGTAGTAAATTCTAGAATACGCGCGCCCGATAGCCACACCCCCTCGCAACTCAACCCGCAGCTTTGAAAGCAGCAGCAATCAATAAATTGACCATTCATTCATTCATGTTGCAATGTAGTAAACGCCCAGAGCCTTTTCTGGTGTGCAAAACTGTTTCTGAAACCTCTAATGTACATAATAGGACAATAAGGTAACCAAAACATTCAATTCAGTAGCTCTCATCCTGGGAAGTTCGGTACCACTGCTAAGACTACTGTCAAAAATATCGTGGCTAATAATTTTGAATACATGATCATTATTGTTCCTTGATAGGTGGTTAAAAATTTTCATTTTTTGTTGCCTGCCAAAGTCTGAAATAGTCTGACAGTCTGAAAATAAAACATGTTCAGTCACCCTTGCTTTGAAAAGATGCATTAGCGGTAGTAAAGATTTGTTGATTCAAATTCCTGGCTGCATTCATAAATTACTTTTGAAATCAATTCTGTTCTGTCTACATGCCTTGATGCACCGTTTGTGTTCAAATGTCCGTTGCATACAATGCTATTGGTCAGCCCGCTGTATTGTTCAAGTACCTGTACCTGTAAACATGGAAGAATTATGTGTGAATGTTGAAAGAAAAAAAAAATACGGACACATTTGGAATGATTCTTAATTATATGTAATGATATTGACAGATACAAAAGTACTGGTTAAAGTTGTTGAAAAATGTGCAATGAAAATTGATTGATCTAGAAGGATACTACTGAAAGATATGGAATGATGTTAAATGATGTCGAATGATATTGGTGAAAAACGCCCCGCGACCCTTGTGAGAATAAGCGGATCTGAAAATGGATGGATGGATTGTCTCTAATCTTGTTTAATCCATCCTGCAGAATGGCATTCAAGAGCCTGATGGAGTACCTGGCTTGGCTTTACTACCAGTACCTTCTGGTCACCGGCATCTACGTGCTGGAGCCTTGGGAGAAGTCCATCTTCAACTCGGTCCTGTTCTCGGCTGTCGCGATGGTGATCTACACCTCCTACGTCTTTGTGCCTATCCACGTGCGCCTGGCGTTGGAGTTCTTCTCCGCCATCTGCGGCGGGCAGCCGGAGAGCACCATGGCCCTCATGAACTAAGATGGCTCGCAATTACCTCCAGAAACTTCATTTTATAAAGGACGGGCATCGAGTGATTAAGAATTAACTTCATTGTGTGGAAATGATTATCGATGAATCACGTTTTGAAGCGACTGAAACACTGCTTGATTCGCTCAGCTAATTTGATGTGTCAAGAATAGCAACATGATGGGAAGTTGAGCTACAGCCACACTACGGCCACACCTCCCGGCAACCGTATTCTGCTCAGTGTAACGCGGGAACACTCAGAACAACCATTTGAAGAATTTATCGATCAAAGGTAATCAAATGCCCATCTCTAACTTCAACCAAAGCTGTCTATCCTCTGAGCCAATCAAAACATTGTCAAGCTTACAATGTTTTTAAGCCTGAACACCCCCGTGTAGTATTGCACTCTTCACGGCCCTTTTCGCACCCTCGCTGTGAGCTGTGGTTTGTTCTGTTTTGGTGTCACCACATTACGCTTTGTGTAAGCGCACGCTACCCATATGTTTAGCATGAGAGGATACGTCAAGCTGCTCTCGCTACATCTATCCTAAACTCTCTAATGGTTAACCATGGGACCCATTTTGAGCTCCATCGCGAACCAAAACAGCAGCACCTTTGGAGACACATCAACAGTCTTTTCAAAATAATTTAATTGTAAACGAGAATCCTCACATTTAAGAGTAAAAAGCCTTTTTAGCTACAGTTAGTTTCAGTAGATCCTGACCTCATTAATCCACAATGTTACATTTTGTGACAAGTCCTGCCCAGTCTGCCCAGGTTTTTGCCGTTTCTCTGCGTATCCCTGTAATACTGGGATCGGCAATGGATGGAGATCGAGCCCTTTCGCAAATCGTGGAAAACAGCATGTCATTGCAGGCCACGCAAATGTTTACAATGGCCTCTATTATATAATTTATACCACAGATATACCACAGTTAGCAATTTATCCTTGTGGATCATTGCTGTGAAAGGTGTTAGCCACCTGCTCGCTCACGAACTAGCTCACGAGCTAGCTCATGAGCTAGTTTCCACCTAGTTCACAGCCTAGTTCATGAGCTAACAGTTTTCCGTGGCTCCTCACAGGCGGCAGCCTCGCATCACCATCTTGCTTGGAATTTAATTAACAACACAGAACTGTTCTCTAAATTGTGGCATCCCAGGAAGATGCCTTTACATGGTGTATAGGTAGCTTTAGCTAACGGCATAGTTTAGAGGTAGGAATGGGCCTAGTTAGGGAGTAATTGCGCCAGATAGCCACTGATGCGAATGACGGCGCTCATACAGTCGGTTGGAAATGACTCATGGCGGGTGCTCAAGTGTGAAACTGGGTGTTGTTTTAGCTATGCACAAAAAAAACAAACAAACAAAAAACTCCATCTTCCTGCATGTATAATGTGGTGAGAAATTAATCTCTGAATTCACTTCACATGGTTTTAAATGTTCCATGCACGATAATGTTAAATTACAAATGTAAAAGCTACACAATGAATCCAAAGTGTTTCAAAGTTGGATGTGGAATGTTTCCTTTTGGATAAGTGGGAAAGAGTCCACTATGATGATATTACAGACGTGTGGCACGGGCCCTACCTCCATCCCTCCGGTGATTTAACTGCTGGTATGCCAGGAAGGCATGCTCGTCACTGAGCACCGGCAAATATTGATTTAGCACGCCCCATCGTACTGTAGGTGTGGGGTTTGGCTTTCACTTTGATAAGGCTTTACTCAATCTGCGGTTTACTCAGCCCCAAAAAGGAAATATTTTGTTGGTCCATGTCGCAGCTTTAAGAGGCCTGCATGAAAAGCAAAGAGCCGCTTGCCCTATAGTTGGTCTTACAAGGGTTCTCAAACTATTTGGTTCTATGGACCCCCTCATAATCCCAACGCAAATTAAGCATGACTGCCATTTGTATCCCTGAATGCCATAGGAATTAAAAAGGTGCCACTTTTCTTAAAAAAAAAAAAACAAAACAAAAAAAAGCTATTCTGTAATTTGTTGAGTTGAAAAGTCACGAATAAAAGTACATTTTAAAATAAACATTATAACTTTGCTTTAAAAAGTTTGTTTAGCTTAATGCTAAAATAACAACGCAAAATGCCACAAACAAGCAAATGAATATCATTGATGTATTTGATATTTGAACACTAACA